CCCAGCCTATACCTGGATCTCTGGTTGTCCAGGCTGCGGCGCAAAAGGAGAGGCTTCCGCAGCCGGGCCCAACTCCAAAAGCCAGGGAACCTAAGTGCCTAGATCTGCAGGGGCGTAAGGTGTATGCAACGGGGGGTGGGGTGGGGTGGGTGTGCAACTCTGCATTACAAACCAACAGGCAATGCTTAGGCATAATGCCTACAATACCTGGCAGGCTATGGATAAGTTCAGGGACAAACTCCCCCCAGATGCAAGACACAACGGGGGGTGGGGTGGGGTGGGTGTGCAACTCTGCATTACAAACCAACAGGCAATGCTTAGGCATAATGCCTACAATACCTGGCAGGCTATGGATAAGTTCAGGGACAAACTCCCCCCAGATGCAAGACAGGAGTTAGCAGCTATGGCCACTGAAGGCCGAACCATCGCCCCCATGGCTTTGCAGGCCTCCTTAGATGCAGTGGACTCAGCGGTGAGAACCATGGCATCGGGGCATGGCTGCAAGTCTCTGGCATGCCACCTGATGTTCAGGCCACAATACACGACCTGCCCTTTGAAGGGAAGCCCCTGTTCTCGGAGTGTACAGACTCCAGGCTCCACACGCTGAAAGACACTAGGTCAACTCTCTGCTCTTTGGGGATTCATACACCGGCCCCCCAGCGACATCAGTTCCCCAACAGACAGCAGGGGAGAACGCAGTAAGCATCGTCCTCGGGCTCCCAGTGAGGGTGCGGGGGCGCCTGCAGCCACTACCTCCAGGTGTACAAGGCGTCGCCGTGCTCAAGGGGACAACCTCAGAGGAGTAGGACAACCATCTTCCCAACAGGCCAAACACCCATTTTGACTGGACCCTCGAGGGTTGAGTACCAGCCACCTCCCGCTTTCCCCCATTTGGGGACAGGCTATCCCACTTTAAGATCACCTCCGACGCTTGGGTGCTCGGGCTGGTGAGGAAAGGATATTCTATCCCTTTCCTGGGTTCTCCCCATTCCTCCCCACCCTCCCCATCCCTTTTCAGGGACCCTTCTCATGAAGAGCAGGAGGTCCTTGCGATCCTTGAAAAGGGAGCAGTGGAAAAGGTCCCTTCACATAGACAGGGCAAGGGGTTTTATTCCCGATAGTTCATCATCCCCAAATCCAAGGGTGGGATCCGCCCCATTCTGGACCTCAGGAACCTCAACAAAACGGTGGTGAAATCAAAGTTCAGAATGGTGACCCTAGCCTCCGTCATCCCAGTCCTAGAGTTAGGAGATTGGTACGCAACCCTCGACCTCAAAGATGCCTATTTTCACGTGGCGATAAGATCAAGCCACAGAAGATTTATCCGCTTCATTGTTTCCCACTGCCATTTTCAATTTACTGTGCTCCCCTTTGGGCTCTCAACAGCACCCAGGGTCTTCACGAAATGCATGTCGTTCATAGCGGCTTTCCTCCTCAAAAAAGGGGTACACGTCTTTCCGTACCTAGATGACTGACTGATTCGTGGTCGATCCTACGAACAAGTGGAGGCTCAGGATTAGGACTCATGCTAAACGAGCAGAAATCATCCCTGACGCCCCGTCAGCACCTAGAGTTTGTGGGATCCCTTCTGGACGCCAGGGTGGTGAGGACTTTCCTCCCCAGAGACACGTTTACGGCCATAGTGGTCACGGTCGACGACCTAACGCACTTTTCCCTCAGCACAGCCCGTGACTGAGACTGCTAGGACACATGGCAGCGTTCACTTATGTCGTTCGCCACGCCAGACTGAGGATCCGGCCCCTGCAGGCTTGGCTAGCAAAAGCTTTCGACCAGTCCAGAGCCCAATGGGACGCCATGTTGAGAGACACGTTTACGGCCATAGTGGTCACGGTCGACGACCTAACGCACTTTTCCCTCAGCACAGCCCGTGACTGAGACTGCTAGGACACATGGCAGCGTTCACTTATGTCGTTCGCCACGCCAGACTGAGGATCCGGCCCCTGCAGGCTTGGCTAGCAAAAGCTTTCGACCAGTCCAGAGCCCAATGGGACGCCATGTTGACAGTGCCCCGCGATGTACTCACTTCCCTCCAATGGTGAACCCAGAAGGATATGGTATGCAGTGGAGTACCATTTTGGACAGAGCTCCCCTCAGTGACCTTAGTCACGGACACTTCCGACCTTGGCTGGGGAGCGCACGTAGGCCGCCACAGAACTCAGGGCGTGTGGACCCCCTTGGAAAGGGCGCTGCACATAAATGTTCAAGAACTGAGGGCAGGCATTCCTGGCAGCGGTCTCACGTCAATCAGTCCTCGTACACCTGGACAACACGGCGGCCGTGTTCTACATAAACAAACAAGGTGGGGCCCAGTCTCCTTCTCTGTGTTGGGAGGCGTTACTGCTATGGGACTTGTGCATAAAGCACAAGATTTGTATCCAGGCGGAATACCTGCTGGGGTGCAAGAACTTGTTGACAGATGCCTTGAGCAGGTCTTTCGGAGCCCACAAGTGGGCACTGAAGGACAAGGTCCTAGCTCAGGTTTTCTGCAGGTAGGGCTATCCCCTAGTGGACCTCTTTGTCACGGCAGAGAACAGGAAGTGTCCTCGCTACTTCTCATTCCTGGGACTGGGCACTCACTCCAAAGGAGATGCCATGACTGTGTCTTGGCCACAAGGTCTCCTGTATGCATTTCTCCCATTCCCTCTGATCCCCAGGGTTCTGACCAGGGTCAAAATGTTCAGGTCCATGGTCATTCTGATAGCCCTGAGTTGGCCCAGACAGTTCTGGTTCCCCATTCTGGTGGAAATGGCGTGTGCAGAACCGATGGATCTCCCGATGGACCCAGATTTCCTGACCCAACCCTGGGATGGCGGGAAGCTAGTTCACCCGAAACTCAGGTCTCTCCACCTGACAGCGTGTCTTATCCGTGGCTAATGCAGCCAGAAAGGGAGTGTTCATGAGGGGTGCACCAGGAGGTCCTATGCAGCTAAGTGGAAGCAGTTCATGCTCTGAGCCATCACAAGCCTCTGTCCCGGTCATACTGGACTACCTGTTTGACCTGTGGTCTAACAGTCTATCGACCTCCTCCATCAAAGTGCACTTAGCCTCCCTCTCTGCCTTCCATGAGGGTTCTGCAGTCACATCTCTGTTCACGGACCCTGAGATTAAGAGGTTTCTGAAAGGTCTAGACAAGTTGTTTCCCTCTGTCAGGCCACCCATTCCTCAGTGGGACCTTAATCTGGTGCTCAAGAGGCTGATGTCACCTCCCTTTGAGCCGCTGGCCACCTGCTCTTTGAAGCATCTATCCTTCAAAGTGGCCTTTATTGTGTCCATTACCTCGGCATGCAGAGTCTCTGAACTGTGAGCTCTGATAATTGACCCTCCATATCTAGTGTTCTCAGCAAATAATGTCAGGCTCCGCCCTCACCCAGCCTTCCTCCCTAAAGTGGTATCGCCCTTCCACATGTCTCAGGAGATATACTTACCTGTGTTCTACCTGAAGCCTCACAGCTCCCCTAAGGAGCAAGTACTGCATTCCCTGGACGCTAAACATGTGTTACCCTTTTACATTGATAGAACAAAGCCCTTTCGCAAATCCCCACAATTGTTTATTGCATTTGTTGACAGGATGAAGGGGCTTCCTATCTCAACCCAGAGATTATCCCGCTGGGTCTCCGCATGTATTAGGGAGTGTTACAGCTTAGCACGCAGGGACCCGCCTTGGGTTACAGCGCATTCTACCAGGGCACACATGTCCTCGGTGGCTTTTGGGGCACAGGTTCCTATTCTTGAAATCTGCAGGGCGGTCACGTGGTCCTCTGTCCACACATTCACGACTCATTATGCACTTGCCCAGCAGGCTAGGGAAGATGCCGAACTGGGTACTGCAGTCCTCAGGTCCGTGCTGTAACTGTAACACATAGATTCATCTGTTATTTGCCTGTTGCACATTAGTTGAATAAATTCTTCTATTGTTTGTTTCATCGCGTGCCTATGTATCTTTATCCGTGTGCTCCGACCCCTCCTTCATGGGGGTCCAGCTTGGGAGTCACCTTGTTCGAATTGACATGAGCAACCACTCGAAGAAAAGAATGGTTACTTATCTGTAACGGTTATTCTTTGAGATGTGTTGCTCATGTCCATTAGATTCCCCCCCCCCAACTCTCCTTCGTCGGAGCGTCCGGCAAGAAGGAACTGAGGTGGGGGAGCGCCAGCAGGGATACTTATGCTCTGCTATAGTGGCGCCACTCCAGGGGGTGACCTGCTGGCACTACAGGTACCGCTACGGAAAACGCTCCAGAAGAAACCGTGCACGCGGCATGCACACTTTATTCGATTGGACATGAGCAACACATCTCGAAGAACAACAGTTAAAGGTAAGTAACCGTTCTTTTTCTCCTCACCAAATTTACAGAGTGCTTATAGTGTGTTGTGATCACAAAAGCTCATGATACTGTCTACATATTTTCTGCTTAGTCTCTAAGGTGCTACAGGACCATTGTTGTTTTTTAAGTTTTTTTAGTTAGAGACTAACATGGCAACCCCTCTGAACCTCTTCTATAGTTTAGAACAGTGTTTCTTAAACTTTTTAAGACCAAGAAACACCAATAAATATTTTTTTTATGGGGAACACCAAGGATTTTTTGTTGACAAAAAAAAAGTTAGCAGGGGGAAGGGCCTGAGGAAAAACTGTTGAGAAAAAAAGGTTGTGAGAGTTATTGAGGGAAAAAAAAGATTGCTTGTCTCTTTATGGGCAGCCATTGTGAATTCTATTCTCCTTGGTAAAACTCCAACTGCCTCACAGCATCACAGTTGAGGAAACACTGACCTACACACTTATTACTTCATGAATATTTTACTTCTAATCCCTTTGCATCTTCTTGTGCCCGACAGTGAAATGACTCCTCAATTTAAACATGTACGGAATCGTATACAACTTTTGGAAGAACACTGCAGGTAAGCAGGGTGGGTAAAGCCTCAATGACAGTGTCAAATATTTTGATTCCTTCTAAAATTCCTACTACACAAAAGAAATTCTAAACACACTTGAAAATTATTTTCTCCTCACCAAATTTACAGAAAGCTCATGGATATTAATACTAAAATATCAACCTGCCTGGTGATTGGAGTAGCTCTATTTCTCTGAGGCTTGAGGAAACACTGACCTACACACTTATTACTTCATGAATATTTTACTTCTAATCCCTTTGCATCTTCTTGTGCCCGACAGTGAAATGACTCCTCAATTTAAACATGTACGGAATCGTATACAACTTTTGGAAGAACACTGCAGGTAAGCAGGGTGGGTAAAGCCTCAATGACAGTGTCAAATATTTTGATTCCTTCTAAAATTCCTACTACACAAAAGAAATTCTAAACACACTTGAAAATTATTTTCTCCTCACCAAATTTACAGAAAGCTCATGGATATTAATACTAAAATATCAACCTGCCTGGTGATTGGAGTAGCTCTATTTCTCTGAGGCTGTGTCTATACTGCACTGTTATTTTGAGATGACTAGCGTTATTTTGAAATAACAATGCCAGAATCTTCACCAGAGTTTCTTAACTTTTTAATACCGAGGAACACCAAACAATATTTTTTTTTAAGAGGAACACCATGGATTTTATGTTGAGAAAGAAAATAGTTGGTTGGGGGAATGACTGGGGGAAAAATTATTGAGAAAAAAAAAGGTTGTGAGAAAGTTATTGAGGGAAAAAAAAAGTTGTCTGCTGCTTTATGAACAGCCATCTTGAATTCTGTTCTCCTTGTCAAACCTGCAACTGCCTCGTGGCACACCGGTGTGCCACGGAACACAGTTTAAGAAACACTGATCTACACACTTATTACTTCATGAATATTTTAATTCTAATCCCTTTGCATCTTCTTGTGCCTGACAGTGAAATGACTCCTCAATTTAAAGATGTACTGAAACATGTACAGCTTTTGGAAGAGCATGGCAGGTAAGTGGGATCGGTGAAGCATCAATGAAAGTATAAAATATTTTGATTCCTTCTAAAATTCCTACCACACAAAAGAAATTCTAAACACACTTGAAAATTATTTTCTCCTCACCACATGTACAGAGTACTTATGGGTATTTATATTAAAATATCAACCTGCATAGTGATGAGAGTAGCTCTATTTCTCTGAGGGTGTATCTGTGCTGCACTGTTGTTTCGAGATAACCAGTGTTATTTTGAAATAACAACGCCAGCATCTACACCAGTGTTTCTTAAACTTTTTAATACCGAGGAACACCAAACAATAATTTTTTTATGGGTGTGGTTTAAAGTAAAAGGTTCGGAAATGCGGCTAGTCCCAGGGAGGCGCAGAAACAGGCAAACTGTTACTAAATATCTTTTAAACTTTTATTAAAGGGCTTCTATGTATAAATTATTATTTTATCAATTTCTTACATACGTAGGCACCAAATAAGTATTAGAATGTCCAATAAGCAAAATGCAATACAGTAAAGAAAATTCTTTGAGGTTTCTCTAAATCCCAATAGTTGTTAACAAGGGACTAG